TATTTTTTATTTAATTAATTTTTTATTAATTTAATTTAATTTTTAATTTTTAAAGTTGTCCATAAACTTTTGTCCACTCACTGTATTTGATATTTAAATTCCTTTCATAGTCGGTTAAAAAATATGACCAAGTAAACATACATTCATAAAAATAAAATAACAAAAATGATTGTAATATAGAGAATATCGAATAATAGCGACATTCAGTCGATATAATAATACCTATAAATAATGTAATGTTACCAAAAAATTTTAGTTAAATATTTTTATGGAGCTTCGAAATATTCAAAGCTAGAATTTGAAGTAGAATTATTTGTTATTCTGAAAATCAAAACCATTATAGTAATCTTGATAATAAAGTTTAGAAGAATAATTAGCTTGATAAGAATTTTCAATGTATTTTGAAAAGGAATTATAAAAATCATGATAGTCTGGTGGAATAGAAGAATCATTAATGAAAAAAATAATCGATGTATTAGGACAGAAATGATGAATACCTGAGTCAGAGAAATCCTGACGATTGATTGGATCAAAATGTTCCGTATCTTTAATTACATTGAAGTTGAAATTAGAACGTTGCACGCATTATAGATAAGTCATGTACAGTACTAACGTGAATTTGATGTTTCTTCGAGCAACGAATCAAATATGTCCTCACGAGTTTCATTCGATTTGTCAGACGTTCCTTTGAGAGGAAGATGATGTTCGTTTGGTAATATATTGTTGCTATCTACTTCACGGTTTTCTTCTCGATCTACAAAGATAAATTAAAATTAAGAGAATTACATCTTTATTATGAAAAGAAAGATAGAAGAGTAATAACTATTTAAATTCATAAGAATTTGATTAAGGATCGCATTTTGACTTCAATTAAGTCGAATTGCAACGTTACATAATTACACTATCGAAAGATGTGGAAATTTGCGTTACCTCGCGGAAAATCTACGTCACGAAGCGGAAAATTTACGTCACGATCGTCACGATCTTTAGGACCTCGTTTTCGTCTTAGGTACTTGTTACAACTTAATTTCTTTTCACTACACCGTTCACAACAACCACCTTCGGTATAGTTTTTACATCCTTTTTTTGCAATATGGCAATTTTGACATACTTTTTTTGCGTACACTGACATTTTGTATCGACGAATCCAGGTGTGTTAAACGTCCTAGTTCAATAAAACAAGAGAACTACAGTATTTGGTGTTAAACAGCAAACTTTTTGTCAAAAACTAACCAAAAAACAGGTGTTTAAATAAGGTATCTAAAAATGAGGAAACAAGAAATTTTTT